CCACTATACACTACACTACACACTATACTATACACTACACTATACACTACACTATACACTACACTACACACTATACTAGACACTATACTATACACTACTATACACTACACTATACACTACACTATACACTACACTATACACTATACATTACTATACACCACTATACACTACACTATACACTACATACTACACTATACAGTAAACATTACTATACACCACTATACACTACACTACACACTACACTATACACTACACTATACACTACTATACACTACACTTCTATACACTACTATACACTACCTTATACTACCACTACACACTGCCTTATACTATTATACACTACACTAGTATACTACACTACATACTACGCTATATACTACACTATACACTACTGTACTACACTGCTATACACTACACTACTATACTACACTTTACACAATAGACTACACTACATACTACACTTTACACTATGTACTACACTATATACTACACTACATACTACACTTTACACTATGTACTACACTACACTATATACTACACTACATACTACACTTTACACTATGTACTACACTGTATACTACACTACATACTACACTTTACACTACATACTACACTTTACACTACATACTACACTACACTATGGACTACACTACACTATATGCTACACTACTATACACTACACTATACACTCCACTACTATACACTACACTTAACACTACTATACAATACACCACTATACTACACTTTACGCTATGTACTACACTACACTATATACTACACTACTATACACTACACTATATACTACACTACTATACACTACACTAGTATACACTACACCACTATACACGACACTACTATACACTACACTATACACTACTATACACTACACCACTATACGCTACACTATACACTACTATACGCTACACCACTATACGCTACACTATACACTACTATACACTACACCACTATACTACATTTCTTTTGAACTGCCTGTTGTGTTTAGTTTGTTGTCCTTACCCCGCACCTCCGATTAGCACGGTTGGCTAAGTACGGTGCGAAAGAAGTTCAACACACATGTAGAAATGTCGATGTTTGTAAGTCCCGACTAAACACACACATCACCAAAACCAGTTTTCCTCTCATGCACTTTGATCCTCTGGCTCTTCTTCTGCCCCTCCCACCCCCCCCGCCCCCCCCGGTTCATGCTTATTCTTCTTTGTGCGTGGCGCCTCGAGATTTTATCGTGAAAGGCGCCTGATAGTCACAAATTATTGTTACGGATTAATTATAAATTAATGCGTTCACTCGCACGACGTCAGCCCGTGGCGTGCGTGAGCAAGGCGCGTCCGTTCTGGTGCCCACCTGCACGATGCTGGAGTCGCAGTTCCCGTCGAAGACGAACCTCTTGCCGTCGAAGGTGACGTAGTGGCCGTCCCCGTACATGCGGCACGTGCCGGGGCACTCGGCCGAGTTGCAGCTCCACGCGCCGCCGCCGCACGTGCTGCACCCGCGCACGCGCGCGACGTCTCAAAGGGAGCGGGGCGGCGGGCCCTTCAAACCCCCTAGCCCAATATTTTCTCTCGGAATAACAAAAACAATTTATATCCCGACGGGTATTTGGTCAAGTCTAAGGAGAACCAAAAGTCGGTGGCTTCCGCGCCGCCCGGATGTGACGTCACAGGCGGGTCCCGGCTGCTTTCACAATGTCACGGATGCGCCTCCTGGAAAACCCCGTCCTCGCAAATCGGACACCTTTTATTCTCCCGTAAATGGCAGAAACAGTAGACGCGTCGCTTGCCCGCGTGTCTTTTTCCTCCTCATCGGCCACATTCAACGGGGTTTAACCGGTACAAAATTCACCAACGCACTTAATAATTACACAAAAGCTCACTGCGCCAAAATGACACTTGTAAACTGGACCATGTCCAAACGTGCTCGGAGTCCTGTCGGAAGACCCGCCGTAATTCAAGTTTCTGCGTCCTAAACCTATGCAGGTGAAGAAATGCTGTTGTCTTTCCCCTCCCACACACACACAAAGCGGTAGCCATCTTAACGCGCAGCCACCAGGCTGGGGACAGCCGCGCCGCGCTAAGCCCCCCACTCGCTCACCACACGTTGCAGTCCACCTTGATTGTATCCCCCTTGCCATAGACAATGCCGTGGTGCCGGCACGGACAATCCTCCGGCGGGATACAGTTGCCGTTGTCGTCTGGGATGAGTCCATCCCCGCATGGGCAGTCCGATTCGCACGGCGGCTAAGACGGAGGCCGAGAAGTTGGGCAAACAACACAGAGGAAGAGTAAGAAGCCGGGGATTCGCCTTTCGCTCCGAGCCATCCATCGCGCAATGCCTGTGCTACTAGTCTGGCCGAGAGGGCATCGAAGAAGGTCGCTTTTTCCTCTCCATGTCAAAGTCCTTCGTCTTTAACGCCGAGCAGTTATCACTGTCGCACGAAGCACACTTTTCGGCTGACGTTTTCCCCTGCTGCTGTCGTGCCTGTAGTGGAGTGCCCAGTGACTGCCTCACTGCTGCAGCAGAGAGAATTTGGAGTGAATCAGTTGTCACGGGGGGCGATCGATGCTCCGGCACTCGCCGATTCACTCCAGTCAGCTCCTGATTGCTCAGCCGCAGTCAGTCGCCTGCTGGTCGCTCTTCTATCGCTACTACTACCGTGGTTACTCGTTCCCGTGAACTTCACTCGCCCGTGTTGAGGACTCTATCTCTACTGGACACTAACCGTTTCGTCCCGTCCATACTGTGTTCAACCACCACCATCACACAGGTCAAAACGCTTGCGCCCTGAAGCATACGATTATCACTGTTGCTAAGCACAGACCAAATAGCTTAAAAGCCACTAAAGGACATTTGCTAAAGTCTGAATTCATATCCCACGGTTTAATACTTTATGTCCCCATGCTCAATGCATGACATGGGCAAAGGACAAAGCTACCCGAGTGGCATGGAACAGGTAGTAAGCCACTTTGGTCTGCGCTCTTTCTAAAGAAGAGTAGCAAAGCGACGCTAACTTTCTCCTCTTAAGCCCTCTTGTCGTGGCCAGCAGCCCTCAGACATTGGCTTTTTAGCTGCTGAACCATATCGCTGATGCTGCTATTGCTGCTGCTGCGATCATACAAGAGAGCATAGAACAGAACCCTCTGAGTGGTGGGTAAAAGCCAACCCCGTGGGCTGTGTCTAAGGGGGGGTCGAGTGTACTCACGCAGGGCAAGTTGATGGTCTGGCAGGTCCTCTCGCAGGCCTTCACGTGGCTCCTGCCTCTCAGGGCGCTGCCATCGACCAGAAGTTGGAGGGCATTTTCGACCTCTGCCCAATGACATTTCACCATGGAGGACATCAAATACAAAATATCCCGTGCCGCCATTCGCGAAAAGAGTAGCAGGCCAATGCGCACGCTGGGCATGTCAAAAACACAAATTTGCCAATTTCGAATGCAAAAAAATTGACCGCAGATTACTCGATTAGCATCACAACGACAACAGCCGCTATTTGCCACTACGTGGCGGTGACATCACCATGGCGCTTGTGCCAGGCTATGTGCACGTTAAGGCCATCATGTGAGGTGTGTTGAACGCTACCCGCCGGCAGGAGGCCATGGGACAGACCCTCCTGGCACCGTGAGAAACGGTGCGATTGCCAAAGGCGTTCGTGATTCAATCCTGTTCGTTGAGATGGGCCGAAAGTTGTCCGAAGCTTCGGGAAAGAGACGATGACGGGAGGGAGGTAATTCTACTGTTGAGCGGTGCGAGGGAAGAAGCGGACAGAGAAGTGGACGTGACCTGCAGTGCAGTGAGTGGGTGGGTGGCTGAGTTGGGTGGTGAGTGTGGGGAGAGTGGCAGTGTGGCGGTTAGCGTGCTGCGCTATGGACCCGGCGACCCGAGTTTGATTCCCGCTCACGACCAATAACGCTGGTGAATATCTGAATCGGTCCTGGGCCTCTCCTAGGTCGACTCAGCTGTGCTGGCCTTGCTGACAGTACTTACCCAACAACAGCACATTAAGGCTATGTGGGGGGTCTTTTTTGTCTTTGAATTAATAAGCGAGCGAACGAGTTGGTTGAGTGAGTGGGTGAGAAAGTTAGCAAGTGAGCGAGTGAGTTGTGAGCCGTGGTGGTGGTGGTGGTTTATGCGGTCTGTGAGGGCAGGCAAACTTACGGAGGGGGCTTTCACGTCGCATTCTTCCGCCTGCGGTCACGTGGGGATACAGAGAGCGCCAGACATCGGTGAGAACCTCGCGTGGTGGCAGTGTGGTCAATGGTATCGTTTGTGGTGTTGGTGGTGATGGGGGGGATTTGTGCTGCAGGACTCACCGAGCATGGTGATGGGGTTTTCGCACCTGAGAACTCCGTACTCGCAAGCACTGCCAAGGAGACACATCAACAGGGCGTGGTTAAAGCTCTCATGTGTACTAATTCACCCCTCCGCCCCCCCCCCTCCCCTCCCTGGGAAAGTGACATGGCCCGGCTAGAAAATAAAAGCCAGAAATCGATTATTTAAATTGTTGGTAAGGACAATCCTTAGAGCAAGCCAAGGCACGTGCAAATGGCGCGGCGATGTCGCGTCATTTGCACGTGTTATTTATTGAATGTCACGCCGCCACAATGGCATCATTTGCCCCAGCTCCTGCCCCTGCTTGGCAGATGTTTCAGCTATAGCTCGGCACTTGCTAACGGCCAGTGGGGGAAAAAAAAATCCCACCTATACCACGAAGGGTCGCTCTGCTCTGGCTCGGCTCGGATGCGGCAGTGGAAAAGGCCCACGAGGGCGACCATTCATACCAGGCTAGATCGCCGACCCAGTAGAATTTCCCAGGCGGGACAATGTCGTGACCTGTGTAGCATGGGCACTCGATGCCCGGAACACACGCTCCCTCGTGGTCCATGAAAGTCCCCTCTGCACACACGCAGCCTGTGGGTTACAGAGAGAGGGAGAAGGTCAGAGGAGGAGGGCCAGAGAGCGGTGCTAATGTAGAGGCTCAGTTTCAGTTTCTTTATTTTGGTATAGTCCTGTGAGCCATTCGTCTCTTGAATCGGGTGCAACCGCAACAAACAAAAAAACAAAAACACGAACAAGAGAAACATCTTAAAGTGACTGCGTGTGACTGTGCAAACAGAAAATCCATGAAAAAAACCAGCAAAAATATTCCTGAGAAAAGCACCGTACACCAACGCTGTGTGCAAAAAATCCCAGTGGGATGCAAGTCAAATAACAACAACAACAACCACAAGACAACTTAGATTAAGGCCATCAGTCTAACCCCGTACTACAACAACAACAAACATGTCCAAACCCAAAAACGTTTTTGAAATCACAAAAAATAAAGCCATAATTGCAACGTAACAGTGATCATAGGGACTGTGACCGGATTTTTACAATAAACTACATAAATAATAACATGTAACACCAAATCCTAGAGCCATAGCTGGCTGCATGAGTTACTCCACAAACAACAGAAGCATCAGTCGGAGTATCAAACATTGTTCAATGCACCTTTAAGATCAGCACGCTAAATCAAAATACAGATAATACTTTGCTGTGTCATTGGGAGTAAAAACATTTTATTTTATTTTACGCCAATGAATAGCAGTGGCAGCTAGGGGTGTACAACTCCTCTAGAGCAGTTTTGAGAGAAGATCTCATTGGTAGCGATTCAAGTTGCAGTTTATTGGCAATAGCATTCCAGACCCTGGGGGCATCAATAGCAAAGGCCCTTCCTCCAGTTTTTGTACGGCAATAGGGAATGTGAAGCTGGTAAATGAGCGAAGACCTGAGGTCAAATTTGTTCTTTGAAACAGAGAGGAGATCCAGCAGGTAGTCTGCGGTTTTTTTTGTAAGTACATCGTGAATAAATAAGATCTGGTGCACAAGCCGTCGAACATTAAGAGATGTTACGTTTGACCCAATGTAGAGATCACAGTGGTGAGTCCTATATGGGCAGTTCAATGCAAATCTTAAGGCCGAGTGACAAATTGAGTCAAGCTTCTTCAGTACAGTACTTGGGCCTATTTATACACGATGTCACAGTAGTCAAGTAGAGGCAGTATGGTAGCGTTTATCAATTCCTATGAACCTGGTGACCCGGGTTCGATTCCCGCTCACGGCCAACACCAGTGACGATTATCTGAACCGGTCCCGGGCCTCCCCTAGGTTGACTCAGCCTCAAACGAGTACCTGGTGCGGTGTGTAAACATCGCCACTAGGGAGACAGGCGGTCGGGCGTGGTGCTGGCCACCCACCCCCTCGTGTACCGTTCCGGCCTTCATAGGTGCTCGCTAACAGCACTTGCCCCTACAGTCTGTTACAGGCTATATGGGGGATCTTTGGTACCTGTAGAAGGCCCCTCCCCGGCGCAGGCGTGTGGCTCCCCGAGTCCGTGGCACGTGCTCCGGCACGAGTCCACCGAGTAGGAGAACTGCTGCCCGGCCGGGCACGACTCCTCTGTGAGCCAGAGCGATCGGCGGCAGCGGCGACAATGACAACAGCGACAGCAAGCCATCAGCCACCGCGGCACTTGTGCATCACCAAGAGCGGACATCGACGACGGCGGCAACCGTCGTTCGCCACTTAAGCGGCGGCTACTTCACGCGGATGCCTGTGCCGGGTTGGGTGCTAGGTCACAGGACGAGACCCAGGTTCCGTGGCTCGACTGACTGAGATGACTGGCAGATGCACCAGCTGGCTCGCCGCCGTGCCAACCTGCTGCCCTTTAGCCGCTCGTTGTTATGAGCGTCGCTCCTTTACCGTCCGCTGCTTTTGGGACGGCGACTGCCTCCAACTGCCCAGTGGCGTCCTTCATGAACCTCCTCCACAGAGGCCGATCTTAACACCGCTGGTACCAGTCATCGGCGAGTCCACTCAGCTCCTAACCTTTTATCTACTTTTTTAATCTCTACTTTAAAAGTACCCCAATTTTATGCCGTTTGTGCCATCGGTATCATGTCATGAGATTAAGAATCTTCTCTACAGAGCAGTGCAACCCTCCGGTCTAATAGAACGGCCCACAGAAGGAGATATCACAGAGCTCCCTCTGGGATCTCCTTGTCTTATGCAACTGACACTCTCGTCCAAGCAAAAGGGCCCGCGGAAGCGTATATTACAGAGCTACCTCTGGGATTGGTTCAAGTGACACTCTGGTCCACACACAGAGCAAAAGGCATCACTTTTCCATGCCCTTCCGCCACATGAGATGCAGGCTCATCTTTTGACGGTCAAACCAATGTGTCATTCTTAGAGCTGTGAATTTCGTCAATTTTAATGTGACCGGGGTGTTTTTTCGTCGTGAAGTCGTCAGCGTCCGGTGCCAACCCCGTCCTTGGGTTCTCACCGCAGACTCCGCGGCTCCAGTTGTACACGGGCACCCCGCGCAGGGCACAGGCCCGAGCCAGAGAGCCCAGCGCCGCACAGTAGCACGGCTCGCTCCTCTCACAGTGGCACACGTCAAACTCACAGCTCTGCAAAGACAAAGACAAAAGATCCAACGCGTGTAGCCTGTAACAGACTGTAGGGGCAAGTGCTGTTAGCGAGCACCTATGAAGGCCGGCACTGGCACGTGCGGGGGGTGGGTGGCCATCACCACGCCCGGCCGCCTTTGTCTCGCCCAGTGGCGATGTTTACACAACGCACCGGGTACTCATCCGAGGCCGAGTCAACCTGGGGGAGGCCCGGGGCCGGTTCAGATAATCGTCACCGGTGTTGGCCGTGAGCGCAGGGAGGCCCGAGATCGGTGCCAGGGCTGGCACCTGAAGGTGCGGAGTGGGGTCGAGGTGGCCCAGGCAGTCGCGGAAGACGTCTGAGAAGATCTCGCCGTGGCAGCTGCGCTTGAGCTCGTCTGCGAAGACAAAACGGCACCAGCATTGGATTATTTGGCTGCTTTTGGCCAGCAAAGATGCACCTTGTCGCCCTCCCCCCCTGCCCCAACCCCCCCCCCTCCCCCCCCCATTCTTATACCACCTAAAGATGTTACAGGTATCCCATGGAGGAATCTCACCTAACTCCCTAGAGTTGCCACCCCCCAGTACCCCCCGTTGTTTATTGTAGTACGGCGCTAGACTGATGGCCTTAATCTTAGTTGTCTTGTGGTTGTTGTGGTTGTTGTTGTTTTTGTATGACTTGCATTCCACTGGGATTTTTTGCACAAAGCGTTGGTGCACGGTGCTTTTTCAGGAATATTTTTGCTGTTTTTTTTTTTTCCCATGGAATTTCTGCTTTGCACAGTCAACACACGTAGTCACTTTAAGGTGTTTTTCTTGTTCGTGTTTTTTTTTTTTTTGTGGCGGTTGCACCCGATTCAAGAGCCGAATGGCTCACAGGGCTCTACCAAAACTATGAACTCGGACGCCCCAGGTGAGGGAACCACCGCCGCCCCGACCGCTGGAGGGGTGCAGGGGTCGGGTGCCTCACCGTCCGCGCATGTCTTGGATCCGTGGGTGAAGCGGCGGTGGGAGACTCCCTGCAGGAGGTTCCAGGAGGCGAGGAACGCAGCCTCGCTCGCCTCGGGCACTCGCTGCGGCGTCACGCGCTCGTCCGCCTCCTCCCCATTGAAGTTGCCGCACAGTCCTGGGGGACCGCACAAGAGCACCGGGGTGAAGTTCGCCGGGAACCGCGCCCGTTCCTACCCCACCCGTCGCTCGCTCGTTGACGTCTCGCAGGGGCACAGGTGACCTTCCCTCCCCCGACTTGCGCGCACCCCTCCCCCCCCGTCCCCAACCCTGCTTTTACGACCTTATGGTCGGTAAGACCCCCTAACTACTGCTAACCGATGAGTCCGCACGTGTCATGCGCAGGCTCGTAGTGTAGGGTGTCATAGTGCACAGGTGGCATCTCTTTCGCAGTGCTCTTCGCTTGTTTGTGAAACGGTTTTTTTTTGTTTCGCCTTCCGCTGCGTCTGAGAAGAGGAGACGTTGATGCACGTGCAGAAAAGTAGTCAAGGATTTTCCAATGTAAAGTATTTGTTTTTGCCAATTGCAAGCGATGCTAAGTCAGGGTTATTTTTATTGGTTTTCGTGGTCGATTTTGGTATTTTCATGGTTTCCAGGAATGGAACCCCCCAATTTATAACGTTGCACCTATGGGAGATAAGGGTTCTGCCTACGGCGACAGCTCGACTTCCGGCCGTCGTTCAGGATCCAATTAGATCGTAGGCAGCGGGGGTCACGTGTACAGTGAATCCTCGGTTTAACGCACTAATGGAGGGTGGGGGAGGGGTGTCTGTAGAATCCGATTGTCCAGTTAATGACCAAATGACGCATTCTGAGCACTGAATCCACACCCTAGGGCGCGCAAACTACTCACTGATATCACGGTTGTGCCAGTATCATATGAAAAATAATAGATTTTACCCTTTCTGGCAATAAAACAGGTGTAAAGATGTAGTGCATTGACGACACACAATACTTGTGGGGAACATGCATAATAATTGATGCCAATGTCGTTGAAACTGAAAGGCCTACACCAAAGACAGCTTTTTTTTAGGGCCTAGCCTCACTAGAATCAGACCAGAGAACGCCACAAGGCAAACAGCACATAGACAACGCACTGTCGGAGCATTCATAGATTGGGGTGAGCAGCTACAACATGGGATAATACAGTACCATGCATTCACACTTTGCATACATGATCTGAGTGGAGGGTTTACATGTAAAGCCTTTGTACTCTAATAATGCCATACTAACCCGTTCTGTTGAAACCGTCGCAAGCATCAAGCGATCACTGTTCACGTTTGTCATCGTGTTATGTGTACGATACTGTCCTGTAAGCTATTCTTGAAAGACCAAAGTACTGGCAAATGTTGTTGCACAAATTAATTTTAGACTATATATATACTTGGTTCTTTCGGTAAAGTCACGTTGAAGGGAAACAATAAAATAATAAAATATATATTTTAGACTGTTCATTTCACCTACTTTGACCAATTTTTTTACAATAAAAACCACCTGTAGTGTCATTAAGGGGCCATCCATAAGTGACTTCACGCGATTTTGGACGATTTTTGACCCACCCCCTTCGTCACACGGCGTCACAAAAAGTCAGACTCCCCCCCCTACAAATATGACTAAAGCTCTGCCCCCCCCCCCCCCACAAAAAGAAAACATGCTTCAAATCCCTTTAAACTATTTTCATTGTAGTGCGTATTTAATGTGGCGCTGCACTCTGATGTTGTAGGAGAATTCATTAAGTAGAACGTGTTGTCTATATTTATCTAAAGTTGCGCATTTTTACGTGACGTCAACCGCCCCACCCCTCGTCACACATCGTCACAAATGTCTGACCACCCTCCCCCCACCCCACCCCCCCCCCCAGGTGCGTGACGTCATTTATGGACGACCCCTAATACCATGTACCCCCCATTAAGGGGAAGGAAGTGAATATTTGCCCAGACTGATTTGCCCCCAGCACGACTGAGGCATTGGTTGCGATGGCGGCTCCGCGTTGAACGACGTACCCGTGACGTGCCCCTGCATCGCGTCCGGCAGGCTCAAGTAGACCTGCATGATCGGTTGGAGCTGGACCTGGATCTTGAGCCCAAAGTGCGTGATCACCTGGATGTAGTCCGAGCTCTGGCGGAAGACCTTCAGGTAGTCTGGGGATAACGCCGAGCATGGGGATGCGCGAAGGCACAGGGGGCGAGGGCAAGGCAAACGTGAAAATAAAGTCCTTGTTTAGTGCGGTAGTAGTAGCGCGTGAAGCGGAGAGACCAATGTACCCATAAGTAACGTGACGATAAAGTTCGGCGAGCTACGGTGTACTACTCGCACACACTTGAGGTTGTGCCACCGCGTCACTGCGTCACCGCGTCGCCGTACCGCTCACCTGCGCAGCTCAACAAAGTAGTTCGCCGTCGACAGCTCGGAAGCCGAGTTGCAATGAAACGAGCGCTCCATGTTACAACGGAGCACGTTCCTCGTTGTGACGGAGTGTTCCACGTTGTGACAGAGTGTTCCACGTTGTGACGGAGTGTTCCACGTTGTGACGGAGTGAGTGTTCCACGTTGTGACGGAGTGAGTGTTCCACGTTGTGACGGAGTGAGTGTTCCACGTTGTGACAGAGTGAGTGTTCCACGTTGTGACAGAGTGTTCCACGTTGTGACGGAGTGAGTGTTCCACGTTGTGACGGAGTGAGTGTTCCATGTTGTGACGGAGCACGTTCCACGTTGTGACGGAGTGTTCCACGTTGTGACGGAGTGTTCCACGTTGTGACGGAGTGTTCCACGTTGTGACGGAGTGTTCCACGTTGTGACAGAGTGAGTGATCCACGTTGTGACGGAGTGTTCCACGTTGTGACGAAGTGTTCCACGTTGTGACAGAGTGAGTGTTCCACGTTGTGACGGAGTGAGTGATCCACGTTGTGACGGAGTGTTCCACGTTGTGACGGAGTGTTCCACGTTGTGACGGAGTGTTCCACGTTGTGACGGAGTGTTCCGCGTTGTGACGGAGTGTTCCACGTTGTGACGGAGTGTTCCACGTTGTGACAGAGTGAGTGATCCACGTTGTGACGGAGTGAGTGTTCCATGTTGTGACAGAGTGAGTGATCCACGTTGTGACGGAGTGTTCCACGTTGTGACGGAGTGTTCCACGTTGTGACAGAGTGAGTGTTCCACGTTGTGACGGAGTGTTCCACGTTGTGACGGTGTGAGTGTTCCACGTTGTGACGGAGTGTTCCACGTTGTGACAGAGTGAGTGTTCCACGTTGTGACGGAGTGAGTGATCCACGTTGTGACGGAGTGTTCCACGTTGTGACGGAGTGTTCCACGTTGTGACGGAGTGTTCCACGTTGTGACGGAGTGTTCCACGTTGTGACGGTGTGAGTGTTCCACGTTGTGACGGAGTGTTCCACGTTGTGACAGAGTGAGTGTTCCACGTTGTGACGGAGTGTTCCACGTTGTGACGGTGTGAGTGTTCCACGTTGTGACGGAGTGTTCCACGTTGTGACGGAGTGTTCCACGTTGTGACAGAGTGAGTGTTCCACGTTGTGACGGAGTGTTCCACGTTGTGACAGAGTGAGTGTTCCACGTTGTGACGGAGTGTTCCACGTTGTGACGGTGTGAGTGTTCCACGTTGTGACAGAGTGTTCCACGTTGTGACAGAGTGAGTGTTCCACGTTGTGACGGAGTGAGTGATCCACGTTGTGACGGAGTGTTCCACGTTGTGACGGAGTGTTCCGCGTTGTGACGGAGTGTTCCACGTTGTGACGGAGTGTTCCACGTTGTGACGGAGTGTTCCACGTTGTGACGGAGTGAGTGTTCCACGTTGTGACGGAGTGAGTGTTCCACGTTGTGACGGAGTGTTCCACGTTGTGACGGAGTGTTCCGCGTTGTGACGGAGTGTTCCGCGTTGTGACGGAGTGTTCCACGTTGTGACGGAGTGTTCCGTGTTGTGACGGAGTGTTCCACGTTGTGACGGAGTGTTCCACGTTGTGACGGAGTGAGTGTTCCACGTTGTGACGGAGTGTTCCACGTTGTGACGGAGTGTTCCACGTTGTGACGGAGTGTTCCACGTTGTGACGGAGTGAGTGTTCCACGTTGTGACGGAGTGTTCCACGTTGTGACGGTGTGAGTGTTCCACGTTGTGACGGAGTGTTCCACGTTGTGACGGAGTGTTCCACGTTGTGACAGAGTGAGTGTTCCACGTTGTGACGGAGTGTTCCACGTTGTGACAGAGTGAGTGTTCCACGTTGTGACGGAGTGTTCCACGTTGTGACGGTGTGAGTGTTCCACGTTGTGACGGAGTGTTCCACGTTGTGACAGAGTGAGTGTTCCACGTTGTGACGGAGTGTTCCACGTTGTGACAGAGTGAGTGTTCCACGTTGTGACGGAGTGTTCCACGTTGTGACGGAGTGTTCCACGTTGTGACGGTGTGAGTGTTCCACGTTGTGACGGAGTGTTCCACGTTGTGACGGAGTGAGTGATCCACGTTGTGACGGAGTGTTCCACGTTGTGACGGAGTGTTCCGCGTTGTGACGGAGTGTTCCACGTTGTGACGGAGTGTTCCACGTTGTGACGGAGTGTTCCACGTTGTGACGAAGTGAGTGTTCCACGTTGTGACGGAGTGTTCCACGTTGTGACGGAGTGTTCCACGTTGTGACGGAGTGTTCCACGTTGTGACGGAGTGTTCCACGTTGTGACGGAGTGTTCCACGTTGTGACGGAGTGTTCCACGTTGTGACGGAGTGAGTGTACCACGTTGTGACAGAGTGAGTGTTCCACGTTGTGACGGAGTGTTCCACGTTGTGACGGAGTGTTCCACGTTGTGACGGAGTGTTCCGCGTTGTGACAGAGTGTTCCACGTTGTGACGGAGTGTTCCACGTTGTGACGGAGTGTTCCACGTTGTGACGGAGTGTTCCACGTTGTGACAGTGTGAGTGATCCACGTTGTGACGGAGTGTTCCACGTTGTGACGGAGTGTTCCACGTTGTGACGGAGTGTTCCACGTTGTGACGGAGTGAGTGTTCCACGTTGTGACGGAGTGTTCCACGTTGTGACGGAGTGTTCCACGTTGTGAAGGAGTGTTCCTCGTTGTGACGGAGTGTTCCACGTTGTGATGGAGTGTTCCACGTTGTGACGGAGTGTTCCACGTTGTGACGGAGTGTTCCACGTTGTGACGGAGTGAGTGTTCCACGTTGTGACGGAGTGTTCCACGTTGTGACGGAGTGTTCCACGTTGTGACGGAGTGTTCCACGTTGTGACGGAGTGTTCCACGTTGTGACGGAGTGTTCCACGTTGTGACGGAGTGTTCCACGTTGTGACAGAGTGAGTGTTCCACGTTGAGACGGAGTGTTCCACGTTGTGACAGAGTGAGTGTTCCTCGTTGTGATGGAGTGTTCCACGTTGTGACGGAGTGTTCCACGTTGTGACAGAGTGAGTGTTCCACGTTGTGACGGAGTGTTCCACGTTGTGACGGAGTGAGTGTTCCACGTTGTGACGGAGTGTTCCACGTTGTGACGGAGTGAGTGTTCCACGTTGTGACGGAGTGTTCCACGTTGTGACGGAGTGAGTGTTCCACGTTGTGACGAAGTGAGTGTTCCACGTTGTGACGGAGTGTTCCACGTTGTGACGGATTGTTCCACGTTGTGACGGAGTGTTCCACGTTGTGACGGAGTGTTCCACGTTGTGACAGAGTGTTCCACGTTGTGACGGAGTGTTCCGCGTTGTGACGGAGTGTTCCACGTTGTGACGGAGTGAGTGTTCCACGTTGTGACGGAGTGAGTGTTCCGCGTTGTGACGGACTGTTCCACGTTGTGACGGAGTGAGTGTTCCACGTTGTGACGGAGTGTTCCACGTTGTGACGGAGTGTTCCACGTTGTGACGGAGTGTTCCACGTTGTGACAGAGTGTTCCACGTTGTGACGGAGTGAGTGTTCCACGTTGTGACGGAGTGAGTGTTCCACGTTGTGACGGAGTGAGTGTTCCACGTTGTGACGGAGTGTTCCACGTTGTGACGGAGTGTTCCACGTTGTGACGGAGTGTTCCACATTGTGACGGAGTGTTCCACGTTGTGACGGAGTGTTCCACGTTGTGACGGAGTGTTCCGCGTTGTGACGGAGTGTTCCACGTTGTGACGGAGTGAGTGTTCCACGTTGTGACGGAATGTTCCACGTTGTGACGGAGTGTTCCACGTTGTGACGGAGTGTTCCACGTTGTGACGGAGTGTTCCACGTTGTGACGGAGTGAGTGTTCCACGTTGTGACGGAGTGTTCCACGTTGTGACGGAGTGTTCCACGTTGTGACGGAGTGAGTGTTCCACGTTGTGACGGAATGTTCCACGTTGTGACGGAGTGTTCCACGTTGTGACGGAGTGTTCCACGTTGTGACGGAGTGTTCCGCGTTGTGACGGAGTGTTCCACGTTGTGACGGAGTGAGTGTTCCACGTTGTGACGGAATGTTCCACGTTGTGACGGAGTGTTCCACGTTGTGACGGAGTGTTCCACGTTGTGACGGAGTGTTCCACGTTGTGACAGAGTGTTCCGCGTTGTGACGGAGTGTTCCACGTTGTGACGGAGTGTTCCACGTTGTGACGGAGTGTTCCACGTTGTGACAGAGTGAGTCTTCCACGTTGTGATGGAGTGAGTGTTCCACGTTGTGACCGAGTGTTCCACGTTGTGACAGAGTGTTCCGCGTTGTGACGGAGTGTTCCACGTTGTGACGGAGTGAGTGTTCCACGTTGTGACGGAGTGTTCCACGTTGTGACGGAGTGAGTGTTCCACGTTGTGACGGAGTGTTCCACGTTGTGACGGAGTGAGTGTTCCACGTTGTGACGGAGTGTTCCACGTTGTGACGGAGTGTTCCACGTTGTGACGGAGTGTTCCACGTTGTGACGGAGTGTTCCACGTTGTGACAGAGTGAGTGTTCCACGTTGTGACGGAGTGAGTGTTCCACGTTGTGACAGAGTGTTCCACGTTGTGACGGAGTGTTCCACGTTGTGACGGAGTGAGTGTTCCGCATTGTGATGGAGTGTTCCACGTTGTGACGGAGTGTTCCACGTTGTGACGGAGTGTTCCACGTTGTGACGGAGTGTTCCACGTTGTGACGGAGTGTTCCACGTTGTGACAGAGTGAGTCTTCCACGTTGTGATGGAGTGAGTGTTCCACATTGTGACGGAGTGAGTGTTCCGCGTTGTGACGGAGTGAGGTCGTGGGTTCCATCTCGACCCCTGACAATAACTGCTGATGTATATTTGGAATGTGCGTGTCTCTCAATCTCGCCGTGGTCGCGTGGATTTTTCTCCGGGTCCTTCGGTTTTTTCCCCGCCACATTTAGAACCAACGTCTCCACGCTTGTAGAGTATTCGGCTGCTGACATAAATGCCCACGTGATGATGACATTAGCCACCTGGCTGAGCTGCTATCACCTGTGGCGGCCAGCTCCGCTTCTGAAAAAAGAGCTACTGACCAGCAGCTCAGTGGAATGATAAACAGAATCAAATGGAGCGTGTCTGATGGCAACTGAGGTGCCAGCAACTCGCAGACGTTCCCCAGCAATGCCCGGAGTCAGGCACTTCGCTCCCTCTGTCTCTCACCTGACCGATACGGCAGCGGCAGCAAACTCTCTTCCTTGAACACCAGGCCGTCCCTCCCGAACTCCAGCGAGTCCTGTGGGTGGGTTGTTGGTGGTGAGGTGGGATGAGAGGTAAAGCAAGGTGGTGGATTTACACCACCACGTCGCTCTGAACTTCTTACTGCAGCGTTGCTGCAAGCCACCCCCCCCCCTCCCCATCTTTCGGTTCTCAATCTTTACAAAAAAATGTAACAAAATTTGAAAAAAGTGGCGGTGTTTTTAACACGTTAAAAAAAACGCCATTTTTTAACACATTTTCTTGCTGTGGTTTTCACAGCTGATGATGATTGCTGCTTGTGTTGCAGTCGAAACGTCGTGATAATTTAATTGTTTTATTTTTTTATTATTTTATTGCTTCCCTTCTACGTGGTGACTTTACCGAAAGAACCAAGAATATGAATCCCTGCAGTCACGAAAGCTTTAAATCAAAATTTAAAATGTAACAATGTGAATAAATACATCGGGCTTGATGCAAACAAATTAAGTTGTAACCTAACGTGCCCCGTGCTTAATTTGTGTGTTTCGATGATTTACCTTTTCAATAAATAATCTAGCCATGTCTCGCACACCCCCAAAAAAGGGCATCACGCACACCCCAACTCGTTAGTTGTATATTCATACTTTTTGGTTCTTTCGGTAAAGTCACGTAGGTATAAAATACAAAATATAACAAAATAAAATTAAAATTCGACATTTCGGGCGCAGCACAAGCGTCCGTCATCAGGTGGGACAACCACAGCAAAAAGCAACTGCTGAAGGGGGCAAAAGAGCTGCTTGTATCACGAGGCTATATATACCTACTACGTGACTTTACCGAAAGAACCTTAAAGAGTATGGATACCTGCAGTCATGAAAACTTCAATTCGTTACTAGTACAGCACTACTAAACCAGTTGTGTGTTGGAGAGTGAACCAATTCGTTACTAGTACAGCACTAACCGGTTGTGTTGGGGTAGTGAACCAATTCGTTACTAGTACAGCACTAAACTGGTTGTGTGTTGGAGAGTGAATCAATTCGTTACTAGTAAAGCACTAACCGGTTGTGTGTTGGAGTAGTGAACCAATTCGTTACTAGTACAGCACTAACCGGTTGTGTGTTGGGGTAGTGAACCAATTCGTTACTAGTACAGCACTAAACTGGTTGTGTGTTGGAGAGTGAATCAATTCGTTACTAGTAAAGCACTAACCGGTTGTGTGTTGGAGAGTGAACCAATTCGTTACTAGTACAGCACTAACCCGGCTGTGTTTTGGAGAGTGAACTCACTTCCACATATCGGTTCACCGGTAATTACAACAACAAGCAGCAGCATCAGGCGGCAGCCACACATCTGGTTGTTGCTTCATCCGATCTGCGGATTAACCGCGTGTGTTCGATGGTGCGAACGGAGTTCAACGCACCTACGCACATGGAGACACAGAGACTTCTAGAAACCGGAATTTGTATTTAGACTTGAGGAGAAGGGTGGAGTGGGAGGAGAGAGAGGAGGAATCCGCTCTTTGTCACAGAAGCCCATTAGGGGCAAATCTGGCGGTATTGCTGAAATCCACACTGCTTCAACCACATCGTTGGACTGGACGAGGAACCTTTGCATTCATTTATGACGATCATTAACAAAAAAAACAAAGACTGTTGCTTTTCACAATTCCATAAGAAAGAAGGAGAAGAAGTAGTAGGGGCTGAGGGCCTGGGCTCATTGCAACAACAATAACAAGACAAACACGAGAACGGAGTGCAAAATAGAGAAAGGGTAAGCAAGTCGTTGAAAGTGAATGAGTATAAAGTAAAACGGAGCAAGTGGCATGAGCACATAAACAACATTCCTGCCGATTTATCAACCGCTAAATGCACGGTCGGGGGCAGGGCAGCCCCGTGGGTTCAGGATTAGGGTTAGATTAATTACCGAGGGCGTGAGGAGAGCCACAGACTCCAGCTGTGGCAAACCCCAGTCTGCCTCGCGTGTGAAGACCTGCACACTCCACTCGGATGTCTGCACACAAACACACGCAATCACACACAGACAACAACAATAACCGCCATTCGCCACTAAGTATGAGCTCCCCTTGCGAATGGCCTGACACAAGCCTGACGCAAGCACCATTCACCACGGCGTTTGTGCCAGGCTATGTGTACGTTAAGGTCCTGTTAAGTTTCGAACGCCCACTGGCAGGAGGTCACAGGATGGACCCAGGTGCCATGGGTCGACTGACTAAGATAACTGGCCGATGGAACACCTGTGCCCACTACTGTGGCAACTTGCTGTGTTTTAGCCACCCAGGGCTCTGCTCATTGTACACCTACCACCGGAGTGGATGAATGGCAGACACATCTTACAGATGAAAAGCCAATGGTCAGGGGGCAGATCAGCTCTACGGTAGGTCTTGGTATCAAGGACAAGGGTCCGTGTCTGCTGTTCCATCACTATATAGTCCAGTAGATGTTCTTGCTTGCATCCATAATGATGTGTGGATGGGCCCATGCTGGAACAGAGTGTTGGTAATTACAAGCCCATGGCCTGCACAAAAGTCTAGTAGCCTCCCACCGTTGTTAGTGAGCTTATCTGGGCAATGCCTTCCAATCAATCCAGACCATACAAATTCCACTCGTTCTCACTCTGTAGAACAGAGGGAGATCATACAAACTCCACTCAGTAGAACAGGGGGGAGATCATACAAACTCAACTCACTCACTCTGTAGAACAGGGGGAGATCATACAAACTCCTCTCACTCACTCTGTAGAACAGGGGGGAGATCACACAAACTCCACTCACTCTCACTCTGTAAAACAGTGGGAGATCATACAAACTCCACTCACTCACTCTGTAGGACAAGGGGAGATCATACAAACTCCACTCACTCTGTAAAACAGGGGGAGATCATACAAACTCCACTCACTCAGTAGAACAAGGAGAGCTCATACAAACTCCACTCACTCTCACTCTGTAGGACAAGGGGAGCTCATACAAACTCCACTCACTCTGTAGGAGAAGGGGAACTCATAAAAACTCCACTCACTCTGTAGGACAAGGGGAGATCATACAAACTCCGCTCACTCTCTGTAGAACAAGGGGAGATCATACAAACTCCACTCACTCTCACTCTGTAGAACAAGGGGAACTCATAAAAACTCCACTCACTCTGTAGGACAAGGGGAGATCATACAAACTCCACTCACTCTCTGTAGAACAAGGGGAGATCATACAAACTCCACTCACTCTCACTCTGTAGAACAAGGGGAGATCATACAAACTCCACTCACTCAGTAGAACAAGGGGAGCTCATACAAACTCCACTCACTCAGTAGAACAAGGGGAGCTCATACAAACTCCACTCACTCTCACTCTGTAGAACAAGGGGAGATCATACAAACTCCACTCACTCTGTAGGACAAGGGGAGATCATACAAACTCCACTCACTCTCACTCTGTAGAACAAGGGGAGATCATACAAACTCCACTCACTCTCTGTAGAACAAGGGGAGATCATACAAACTCCACTCACTCTGTAGAACAAGGGGAGATCATACAAACTCCACTCACTCAGTAGAACAAGGGGAGCTCATACAAACTCCACTCACTCAGTAGAACAAGGGGAGCTCATACAAACTCCACTCACTCTCACTCTGTAGAACAAGGGGAGATCATACAAACTCCACTCACTCACTCTGTAGGACAAGGGGAGATCATACAAACTCCACTCACTCTCACTCTGTAGAACAAGGGGAGATCATACAAACTCCACTCACTCTCTGTAGAACAAGGGGAGATCATACAAACTCCACTCACTCTCACTCTGTAGAACAAGGGGAGATCATACAAACTCCACTCACTCAGTAGAACAAGGGGAGCTCATACAAACTCCACTCACTCAGTAGAACAAGGGGAGATCATACAAACTCCACTCACTCAGTAGAACAAGGGGAGCTCATACAAACTCCACTCACTCAGTAGAACAAGGGGAGCTCATACAAACTCCACTCACTCTCACTCTGTAGAACAAGGGGAGATCACACAAACTCCACTCACTCACTCTGTAGGACAAGGGGAGATCATATAAACTCCACTCACTCTCACTCTGTAGAACAAGGGGAGATCATACAAACTCCACTCACTCTCACTCTGTAGAACAAGGGGAGATCATACAAACTCCACTCACTCAGTAGAACAAGGGGAGCTCATACAAACTCCACTCACTCAGTAGAACAAGGGGAGCTCATACAAACTCCACTCACTCAGTAGAACAAGGGGAGCTCATACAAACTCCACTCACTCAGTAGAACAAGGGGAGCTCATACAAACTCCACTCACTCAGTAGAACAAGGGGAGCTCATACAAACTCCACTCACTCTCACTCTGTAGAACAAGGGGAGATCATACAAACTCCACTCACTCTCACTCTGTAGAACAAGGGGAGATCATACAAACTCCACTCACTCAGTAGAACAAGGGGAGCTCATACAAACTCCACTCACTCAGTAGAACAAGGGGAGCTCATACAAACTCCACTCACTCAGTAGAACAAGGGGAGCTCATACAAACTCCACTCACTCAGTAGAACAAGGGGAGCTCAAACAAACTCCACTCACTCAGTAGAACAAGGGGAGCTCATACAAACTCCACTCACTCAGTAGAACAAGGGGAGCTCATACAAACTCCACTCACTCTCACTCAGTAGAACAAGGGGAGCTCAGACAAACTCCACTCACTCTTTTGAGAGTGAGACTGCGTGAAGTTTGTATGATCTCCACAGTGTTCTTAGGGGGGCGTGGCCGGGCTCTGCGTACCGCTGCCATGATGTAGTCGCCCTCGGTGAGGAGGCGATGGGACGCCAGGTCGAAGGAAGTGAGGAGGCCCGCACCCTCAACGGAGCACTCGCCTCCCCGCGGCCAAGAGCGGCACTGCCAGTGGGCGCCCGTGCACGTGCTGCGGCGGCGTCGTCTCTCGTCATTGGGGCGTTGCGATTGACGTCATCGTCGTCGTCGTCGTCATTATCATCGGCACCATCATTGTCATCACCACCATAGTTGTCACCAACATCGTCAACATCAGCGACGTTATTATCAGCATCATCGTCACCGTCATCGCTATCGTCGCCATCATCACCGCCGTCGTTAACATCACCATCGTCAACACCATCGCTATCGTCACCGTCATTATCATCACTCATGGTCACCACCATCATCATCACCACCACCATCGTTAATATCACCATCGTCAATATTATCATCGACATCGTTTTCATCACCATCGTCAGCATCGTTATCAGCACCGTCATTATCATCAACATCGTTTCCACCATCACCACCACCATCATCGTTATCATCGTCACAATAGTCAACATTTTCCTTATCATCACCATCGTCATCATCACCACCATCATCAACATCACCATCGTTATCATCATCGTTATCATCACCATCATTGTTATCATCACCATCATCTTCGTTATCTTCATTGTCACCAGAGTCAACATCATCATTATCATCATTGCCACCACCATCATCACAATCACAACACACGCCTTCATCATTATCAACACCACCTTTGTCAACATCATAATCATACATCCATCACCACCCACCGGTATCGACAGCAGCATCATCATTGTCAACGTAATAATCAGCATCACCATCATACACCTGAAGGCCCGTGCAGTGAAGACCCTATAGTGAAGATCCGTGTGGTGAAGACCGTATAGTGAAGACCGTGTAGTGAAGACCCCTGTAGTGAAGACCGTGTAGTGAAGACCCCTGTAGTGAAGACCATGTAGTGAAGACCGTGTAGTGAAGACCGTGTAGTGAAGACCCCTGTAGTGAAGACCCCTGTAGTGAAGACCGTGTAGTGAAGACCCTGTGGTGAAGACCGTGTAGTGAAGACCCTGTAGTGAAGACCGTGTAGTGAAGACCCCTGTAGTGAAGACCGTGTGGTGAAGATCCGTGTGGTGAAGACCGTGTAGTGAAGACCCTGTGGTGAAGACCGTGTAGTGAAGACCCCTGTAGTGAAGACCCCTATAGTGAAGACCGTGTAGTGAAGACCGTGTAGTGAAGACCCTGTAGTGAAGACCCTGTAGTGAAGACCGTGTAGTGAAGACCGTGTAGTGAAGACCCCTGTAGTGAAGACCCCTGTAGTGAAGACCGTGTCGTGAAGACCGTGTAGTGAAGACCGTGTAGTGAAGACCCTGTAGTGAAGACCGTGTAGTGAAGACCGTGTAGTGAAGACCGTGTAGTGAAGACCCCTATAGTGAAGACCCCTATAGTGAAGACCCTATAGTGAAGACCCTGTAGTGAAGACCGTGTAGTGAAGACCCTGTAGTGAAGACCCTGTAGTGAAGACCGTGTAGTGAAGACCGTGTAGTGAAGACCCCTGTAGTGAAGACCCCTGTAGTGAAGACCGTGTGGTGAAGACCGTGTAGTGAAGACCGTGTAGTGAAGACCCTGTAGTGAAGACCGTGTAGTGAAGACCCCTGTAGTGAAGACCCCTGTAGTGAAGACCCCTGTAGTGAAGACCGTGTGGTGAAGATCCGTGTGGTGAAGACCCTGTGGTGAAGATCCGTGTAGTGAAGACCCCTATAGTGAAGACCCCTGTAGTGAAGACCGTGTAGTGAAGACCGTGTGGTGAAGACCGTGTAGTGAAGACCCCTGTAGTGAAGACCGTGTAGTGAAGACCGTGTGGTGAAGACCGTGTAGTGAAGACCCTGTAGTGAAGACCGTGTAGTGAAGACCATGTGGTGAAGACCGTGTAGTGAAGACCCTATAGTGAAGACCCTGTAGTGAAGACCCTGTAGTGAAGACCCCTATAGTGAAGACCCTATAGTGAAGACCGTGTAGTGAAGACCCTATAGTGAAGACCCCTGTAGTGAAGACCGTGTGGTGAAGACCGTGTAGTGAAGACCGTGTAGTGAAGACCCCTGTAGTGAAGACCTCTGTAGTGAAGACCGTGTAGTGAAGACCCCTGTAGTGAAGACCGTGTAGTGAAGACCCCTGTGGTGAAGACCGTGTGGTGAAGACCGTGTGGTGAAGACCCCTGTAGTGAAGACCCCTGTAGTGAAGACCCCTGTAGTGAAGACCCCTGTAGTGAAGACCGTGTGGTGAAGATCCGTGTAGTGAAGACCCCTATAGTGAAGACCCCTGTAGTGAAGACCGTGTAGTGAAGACCGTGTGGTGAAGACCGTGTAGTGAAGACCCCTGTGGTGAAGACCGTGTGGTGAAGACCGTGTGGTGAAGACCCCTGTAGTGAAGACCCCTATAGTGAAGACCCCTGTAGTGAAGACCCCTATAGTGAAGACCCCTATAGTGAAGACCCTGTAGTGAAGACCGTGTGGTGAAGACCGTGTAGTGAAGACCCCTGTAGTGAAGACCCCTATAGTGAAGATCCCTGTAGTGAAGACCGTGTAGTGAAGACCCTGTGGTGAAGACCGTGTAGTGAAGACCCTGTAGTGAAGACCGTGTAGTGAAGACCCCTGTAGTGAAGACCCCTGTAGTGAAGACCCCTGTAGTGAAGACCGTGTGATGAAGATCCGTGTGGTGAAGACCCTGTGGTGAAGATCCGTGTAGTGAAGACCCCTATAGTGAAGACCCCTGTAGTGAAGACCGTGTAGTGAAGACCGTGTAGTGAAGACCCTGTAGTGAAGACCCTGTAGTGAAGACCGTGTAGTGAAGACCGTGTGGTGAAGACCCTGTAGTGAAGACCGTGTAGTGAAGACCCCTGTAGTGAAGACCCCTGTAGTGAAGACCGTGTGGTGAAGACCCTTTAGTGAAGACCCTGTAGTGAAGACCGTGTAGTGAAGACCATGTAGTGAAGACCCCTGTAGTGAAGACCCCTGTAGTGAAGACCGTGTAGTGAAGACCCCTGTAGTGAAGACCGTGTAGTGAAGACCCCTGTGGTGAAGACCGTGTAGTGAAGACCCTATAGTGAAGACCCTGTAGTGAAGACCCTGTAGTGAAGACCCCTATAGTGAAGACCCTATAGTGAAGACCCCTGTAGTGAAGACCGTGTGGTGAAGACCGTGTAGTGAAGACCGTGTAGTGAAGACCCCTGTAGTGAAGACCCCTGTAGTGAAGACCGTGTAGTGAAGACCCCTGTAGTGAAGACCCCTGTAGTGAAGACCCCTGTGGTGAAGACCGTGTGGTGAAGACCGTGTGGTGAAGACCCCTGTAGTGAAGACCCCTATAGTGAAGACCCCTGTAGTGAAGACCCCTATAGTGAAGACCGCTGTAGTGAAGACCCCTGTAGTGAAGACCGTGTAGTGAAGACCCCTGTAGTGAAGACCCCTGTAGTGAAGACCCCTATAGTGAAGACCGTGTAGTGAAGACCCCTATAGTGAAGACCGTGTAGTGAAGACCGTGTAGTGAAGACCCCTGTAGTGAAGACCGTGTAGTGAAGACCCATATAGTGAAGACCGTGTAGTGAAGACCGTGTAGTGAAGACCCTTGTAGTGAAGGCCCTTGTAGTGAAGACCCCTGTAGTGAAGACCCCTGTAGTGAAGACCCCTGTAGTGAAGACCCTGTAGTGAAGGCCTCTCACCATGAGCCCAGGGCGTCATGCGTCGTGTCCCCAGGCTGGTACTTGGAGCCTCTGTACACGCAGGGGCACTGGCGCCTCGCTATGCACTCCCGTGACCCGTGGTCGTTCCGCACCGAGCCTGGCACGTGCGGGACCGAGACAACAGCAGAGATGCCCCAATGTCACCATCAGAATCTCTGCATTTGGGCTGGAAGAAGAGGAGCAATCTGCGTTTTGGCTGGAGGCTGAAGAGCAATCTGTGTTTGGGCTGGAGTAAGAGGAGCAATCTGTGTTTGGGCTGGAGTAAGAGGAGCAATATGCGTTTGGGCTAGAGGCAGAGGAGCAATCTGTGTCTGGGCTGGAGTAAGAGGAGCAATCTGCGTTTGGGCTGGAGTAAGAGGAGCAATATGCGTTTGGGCTAGAGGCAGAGGAGCAATATGTGTCTGGGCTGGAGTAAGAGGAGCAATATGCGTTTGGGCTGGAGTAAGAGGAGCAATATGCGTTTGGGCTAGAGGCAGAGGAGCAATCTGTGTCTGGGCTGGAGTAAGAGGAGCAATCTGCGTTTGGGCTGGAGTAAGAGGAGCAATCTGTGTTTGGGCTGGAGTAAGAGGAGCAATATGCGTTTGGGCTAGAGGCAGAGGAGCATTCTGTGTTTGGGCTGGAGTAAGAGGAGCAATATGCGTTTGGGCTAGAGGCAGAGGAGCAATCTGTGTTTGGGCTGGAGGCTGAAGAGCAATCTGTGTTTGGGCTGGAGTAAGAGGAGCAATCTGCGTTTGGGCTGGAGTAAGAGGAGCAATATGCGTTTGGGCTAGAGGCAGAGGAGCAATCTGTGTCTGGGCTGGAGTAAGAGGAGCAATCTGCGTTTGGGCTGGAGTAAGAGGAGCAATCTGTGTTTGGGCTGGAGTAAGAGGAGCAATATGCGTTTGGGCTAGAGGCAGAGGAGCAATCTGTGTTTGGGCTGGAGGCAGAGGAGCAATATGTGTTTGGGCTAGAGGCAGAGGAGCAATCTGTGTTTGGGCTGGAGGCTGAAGAGCAATCTGTGTTTGGGCTGGAGTAAGAGGAGCAATCTGCGTCTGGGCTGGAGGCAGAGGAGCAATCTGCATTTGGGCTGGAGGCAGAGGAGCAACCAGAAGAAGCAATGACAACTCCTTGTTACAGATGTCCAGTAGTGGGTTGGGGGAGGAGGTCCAGAAGTGACACGGATACACAGCCGGCGAAACGGGCGACTGGCCCGGGCCCCGTGCTTTGGGGACGGCACCCTTTTTTTGACGTCACGGCATCAGATATAATACTTCCTGATTAATTTAAAGCCGTCAGCGGGGGGGGGGGGGGGGGAGGCTGGGGAGCCCACAAGGAGTGATTGTGCCCCCTGGGTCACGCATCCCTGGTGACCGTGAGTGGGTAATGCTGCCACCCCCTCGGGTCAAACATCAAAGGGCACCGAGACGGACGTCACCGAACGTTCACGCACGCCCCCGAGCGGCTCTGCCGCCCCTCGCGGTCGGTCGCCCCACGCCAATTGAGCCGCTGAGTGAGCGGGCGCCGATTGCCCGCCCGCCCGCCCGCCCATCCGTACCCTTGGGGCAGAAGCAGCTCGGCACTCACTCCTCATCACAACTGATCTCTCTGATGGAGTCGGAGAGTGAGTGAGCGAGTAAGTGATTGAGCGTGCGAGTGAGTGAATGACCGAGTGAGTGAGCGAGGAAGTGAGTGGCCGAGTGAGTGAGTTAGCGAGTGAGTTATCGAGCAAGTGAATGACCGAGTGAGTGACCAAGTGAGTGAGTGACCGAGTGAGCGAGAAAGTTATTGAGTGAGCGTGTAAGTGAGCGAGCGACCGAGCAAGCGACTGAGTTAGTGACCAATTGAGTGAGTGAGCGAGTAAGTGACTGAGTAAGTGATTGATGAGCAAGCGAGCGAGTGAGCGAGTAAGTGATTGAATCAAGCATGCAAGTGAGCGAGCTACCGAGTGATTGATTGAGCTAGTGACCGAGTGAGTGAGTGAGCGAGCGACTACGTGATTGAGCAAGCAAGTAATAGAGCGAGCGACTGAGTGAACAACGTGACCAAGTTAATGACCGAGCGAATGATTGAGCGGGTGAGTGAGCCGTACCCTCGGGGCAGAAGCAGCCCGAAACGCACTCCTCATCACAGCTGATCTCTCCGATGGGGTTGGAGCAGCTCTTTTCGCACGGTGAGCCGCAGTGCCGGAAAACCTCTCCCTCCGGGCACAAGGAGGAGGAACCTGGTGATGCTGAGGGCCGGCGGACATGAGGGATCAGCGTTATCAATCTATTAAGCTCAACTATTTTTTTTTTTACCAGGTGTCGGGTCCCGCTGAGCTATGTAGCTCGTTCTCAGAAGCGACCTGATAACCCAACGAAGTGTCTGATGTCGTCATCGTCATCATTATCATCGCGTGCAAATGTACAGCAGCAGCCAAATTACTCTAAATGTGTGACGTCGATTCTGAATGCGGAGGGTGGGGAAAAAAAACGGAGGACCCGGAGAAAAATCCACGCGATCACGGGCAGAGAGTCGGCATCGAAGTCACGACCTCCCGCATACCGGGCGAGGTAGTTAACACCTCGCTAGCCAACCTCATTTGGGCCAATCATTTGTGGCCAGGTCGCTTCTGAAATCAGCGGCAGCAGCAGAATTGTATAACAGCGCGAACGCGGTGAAGGTACTCGCGGTGCAAGTGACGTTTGCCAGTGGGAGGCGAGCGGTAGTACGCTCTAGGACAGTGGTTCTTCTAAACCTGGGGTACATCACTACTATACACTACTATACACTACACTATACACTACTATACACTACACTATACACTACTATACACTACACTATACACTACATACACTACATTATACACTACTGTACACTACACTATACACTACATACTACACTACATTATACACTACTATACACTACACTATACACTACACTATACACTACACTATACACTACATACTACACTACATACTACACTACATTATACACTACTATACACTACACTATACACTACACTACTATACACTACACTATACACTACTATACACTACACTATACACTACCATATACTAAACTATACCACTGCTCGAGGCAAAAACAAAAATTAGAAACCAGTAGTGACGAGACGCGTTAACGAGAGAGGAGAAACCATCCCCACCCCTCCTCCCTCTCTCGCCACCCTCCGAGCCTCCGAAATGAATCGCCAATTGTTTACTCTTTGGGTCTTTCGGCAGAGCAATTCCACTGCTGGATTATATTTTGTTTACGCCTGAGGACGACCGCTTGTGTTGCGATCGAAACGTCGTGATTTATTTTATTTTATACCTACGTGATGACTTTACCGAAAGAACCAGAGAGTGTGGATTCCTGCAGTCACGAAAGCTTCAAATCAAGATTGAACCGTCAATTGTTTGTTCACACACACGGGAGGGGGGGGGGAGGGAGGGGGGGGGGCGTCCACTCTTACCTCTGAGCCTCTGGCGCTCCCCGACTCCCTCAGCTGGGAAACGAGAAGATGGAGAGCACGGAGCGTTAGACAGCCGAAGTTCGAGAGGCGCGCCAGTGAATGGGCCGGGCGTCCTGCAAGCGCGTTCCGCTAACCCACCGACTGAATGAGGGTTGCCTCTCGTCGCCACGCCCGCTCGGGTTTCAATCGAATTGGAACACGTGGCCTTTGGTGGCCATTTTGTAGACGGCAGTGGGTTTTACTCTCCAACACGCAGTCCGGTTCAGTGCTGTGCTAGTAACGAATTGGTTCACTACTCCAACACACAACCGGTTTAGTGCTGTGCTAGTAACGAATTGGTTCACTATCCCAACACACAACCGGTTTAGTGCTGTGCTAGTAACGAATTGGTTCACTACCCCAACACACAACAACTGGTTAGTGCTGTGCTAGTAACGAATTGGTTCACTACTCCAACACAACCGGTTTAGTGCTGTGCTAGTAACGAATTGGTTCACTACCCCAACACACAACAACTGGTTAGTGCTGTACTAGTAACGAATTGGTTCACTATCCCAACACACAACAACTGGTTAGTGCTGTGCTAGTAACGAATTGGTTCACTACTCCAACACACAACCGGTTTAGTGCTGTGCTAGTAACGAATTGGTTCACTACCCCAACACACAACAACTGGTTAGTGCTGTACTAGTAACGAATTGGTTCACTACTCCAACACACAACCGGTTAGTGCTGCACTAGTAACGAATTGGTTCACTACCCCAACACAAAAACCTGGTTTAGTGCTGTACTAGTAATGAATTAGCTCACTACTCCAACACACAACCAGTTTAGTGATGTACTAGTAACGAATTGGTTCACTACTCCAACACAAAAACCTGGTTTAGTGCTGTACTAGTAACGAATTGGTTCATTACCCCAACACACAACCAGTTTAGTGCTGTACTAGTAACGAATTGGTTCACTACTCCAACACACAACCGGTTTAGTGCTGTACTCGTAATGAATTGGTTCACTACTCCAACACACAACTGGTTTAGTGCTGTACTAGTCACGAATTGGCACCACGTGTTTGTTCACGTGACAAACCTCTCACTAATTGGGCTGTGGTGGCTGGTTTAAATATGACAAAACATTTTATATTCACGTGAGCAAACCCCCCTCCAAAAAAAACTATTTGGAATAAAGTTTTTTCCAGCGTGGGTTTGGTTAAAGGCGGGGAGCGTAGGCGGTATGGTACAACGGTGGTTTCCGCCGAACTGGCCCTCTGCTGCCCTGCCACATAAAACCACATCTCACCGGCAACTTGCCGCGCGTCACTTTGACAAGTAGTAGTGCTTTCGTGACCAATATAAATCAATACTAGCAGTTTGTTGGGGTTAGATCACATAAGTATAAATACATACCTGTAAACCCCTTATCAGTGCCTACCTTATCACAAACGAATTCAGACCTTATTGGTCACCCCGTGCCCCTTATAAATCTCAACGTTCATCCTACAAAGTCCCATCACGAGGGAGAAACACAAACGAATAGACATTTTGTGTTGCCCGTATTGAAACGGCTGTACACCGTATGGACCTGAAAACTCAATTTTCCTGTGCGATAATACGTGGTAAACCATATGTGTTGACAGGTATGTAAATGTGTGTCGTGAATAAACCCGCCACCACCCGACACAGCCAACCAAGTAAGGGTTGTTGTCGCGTCAACAAAACTTGGCAAATTAGTTACGGGTTCAGCACTACCCGGTTGTGTGTTGGTGAGTAGACGCCCCGCACACATTTACAATTTGAGTAGCCGTGACGTATCCCCGGCAATTACGGGCAGCTTCCGCTGTCGTGCATGGCTGGTGGTGGCCGTCGCCCACCGGAGCGCTAGCCAGGCTCACGACCGGCCTAGCTTCCGAGATGCGATGAGGTCGACTCACAGCCCCGCGGTAGCGTCGCCACCATCATAACGGGTAAACAACATGTCTTTGAATTAAATAGGCGTCCATCGGTACTCGTTCGACAAGATGTTGGTCCATCGGCCTATGGGCCAGAATAAGAACACCTCATTCGAGGGCCAGACAGCGCACGCCTTTTGACATTCCTCCTCCAAAGACACCGGTCGTGGGAACCATCAAAACCGCGTGGAAATCTGAGCCGGGCCGACGCGCGAAAAACTCCTCCGTGAGCGGAAAGTAAAAAAACAAAACACGCGGCACGGTAGTCGGAGTGCCATTGTGGCCACGCAAGCCACTCCAGTCCGTTCCGCTTCAGCGGAGAAGGAATAGCAAAAACTGCGCGAGCCCTCTCGCTCTCCTGAAGCCGCTATCGTGGCTAGCAGAGCTTGTGGTACCACCGCAGCGGAGCAACTCGGCCGGCGCTACCCTCTCCTCGCACCCCCCCCCCCGCCCCCCCACGTATGCCCCACTAAACACTCGCATGCACCCCTGTAGGGTCTCGAGGAGGGATCACCTGGTACGGTGGAGTTTCACCCAAGGACCCCCACTGGCAGGGACGTTCCACGGTTTCCCCGGACCAGGAAATTGTCTGAGCCCCCCAGACCGGATTACATGGCGGCACCCCCCCAAAAAGGGGGCATAGAGCTTTACAGGCCGGCCGCGATGAAGCGTTCACAACACGGGGGGATGGGAACTTCAGCCAGTACCCAGCGGCAGGGTAAACAGTGGGGTGGGAGGGAAAAACCCCTAGGCAGATGAGAGTTGAACTACGTGACACTTCACACCTGATGATGCCCGTTTGTGTTATGGTCGAAACGTCGTGAGAATTTTTATTGTTTTATATATAATTTTTTTCACACCTTATGATGACCGTTTGTGTTATGGTCGAAACGTCGTGAGAATTTTTTTTTGTTTTTTATATATATTTTATTATTTTACTGTTTCCCTTCAACGTGACTTTACCGAAAGTGCCAAGAATATAATTCCTGGTGCTTTTGATACGCTTGGGGGACGCTCATCCCCAAACCTTTATATAAAGAGTTTGCCTTTAGAGGCTGACTCCTTTGCCTGATCACGATCGCTTGTGTGTCGCGATCGAAACGTCGTGATTTGTTTTATTTTATGTTATTTCGAACTACGTGACACTTTACCGAAAGAACCAAAGAGTATAATGATGATGGTGATCATTTGGCAGCAGCAGCAGTGTAGTAGCAGTTAGCGCTGCACTACAAACCCGGCGACCCGAGTTCAATTTTCGCTCGTTCGGCATCAACACCAGTGACGATCATTTGCATCGGTCCTGGGCCTCCCCTAAGTGGACTCAGCCTCGAATGAGTACCTGGTGCGGTGTGTAAAAAAAACAAAATCACCACTGGGGAGACAAAGGCGGCCGTGCGTGGTGTTGACCACCCACCTCCTCGTGTGCCGTCCCGGCTTTCACAGTACTACTCGCTAGCAGCACTTGCCCCAACAGTCTGTTAAAGCTACACGGGGGATCTTTGTGTTTTGCGTGTCTCGAGAGACGATAACTTTGCGCTGAAGACGTCAGCCGCTGGTTACGCAGCGCCCCCTTGTGTGTGTGTCTGGCCGAGCAGGGTCACATCCTTGAGTGGGGCCAATGTACCACAAGGGGGCCCATTGGCGAACGAAACCAGCACCACGCCCAGCCGCCTTTGTCTCCCCAGTGGCCACGTTTTGATGCACCGCACCAGGTACCCGTTTGAGGCTGAGTCGATCTAGGGGAGGCCCGGGACCGGTTCAGATAATCGCTATCACCGGTGTTGGCCGTGAGCGGGTATTCGTGTCACCAGGTATCGTAAGCGCTTATCGCTACACCCCCACTCCCGGGACGCACAGGCCCATACAGACAAAGTAAATGTGGTTTTCACACCTGATGATGATTGCTTCTTGTGTTTGCATTCGAAACGTCGTGAGAATTTTATTGTTTTATATTTTTTATTATTTTATTGTTTCCCTTCTAACGTGGTGACTTTACCGAAAGAACCAAGAATATGAATCCCTGCCAGTCACGAAAGCTTTAAATCAATTTTTTTTTTTTTAAAGTAAATGTGCTTGGTAACTTCGGAATATATTTCGTTGCTATAACGTCGTACATATTTATTCATGGCGCGATGCTTTTCCATCGGCACTGCACCCGAGAGAGACAGAGGGAGATACGGAGAGTGACAGATCGGGCGGTCGAGATACGCAACGACCTTTGCGGTGACTGGCCTGGCCTGAGTACAACTTATGGGGCCGTGCATAAATGACGTCACGCGATTTTGGACCCCCCCCCCTCAAATATGACGTCACAAATCTCTGCCCTTAGTGGGGGGGGGGGGGGGGGGGTGACCGCCCCGGACTCCACGCTTTGGGGGATTGCCACTGTGTCACAGATGAAGCACCATCGCTCCACCGCCTTAGCTGCCAATCTCGTCAAGGGGCTATAAACCATCGTCACGCCAACTCCGCTCATCATCCTCACCGCAGCAGCGGCTATTGGCTATTGGCTGCTGGACGTCGAACAAAGACGCTATATACACTGCACTATACACTACGCTATACACTACACTATACACTACTATACACTACACTATACACTACGCTATACACTACACTATACACTACTATACACTACACTATACACTACGCTATACACTACACTATACACTACACTGCTATACACTACACTGCTATACACTACACTATACACTACACTACTATACATGATACTATACGCTACTATACAGTACTATACACTATACACTACTATATACTACACTACACTATACACTACTATACGTGACACTATACACTACTATACGCTACTATACACTACATTATACACTACTATACACTACACTACTATACACTACACTACTATACACTACACTACTATACACTACACTACTATACACTACACTATACACTACACTACTATACACTACTATACACTACACTAATATAGACTACACTACTATACACTACAGTACTATACACTACACTACTATACACTACACTACTATACACTACACTACAATACACTACACTATACACTACACTACTATACACTACACTACTATACACTACACTACTATACACTACACCACCATACTACGGGTGCCAAATAAGTTCAAACGTACACGCCGTGCGTCAGGTGAAATATGTTTTTTGGTTGAGTGTTGTGGGGTCGTACACGGCGTGACTTGCCCTGGGCACACGCGGACCAACGCCCCTGCTACTGACGGCCATGGGAGACGTGGGTGGGGGACGTCCGT